GCTCGGTGTCCTTAGAGCAACATGCCTCTGCTTGCTGCCCCAACCTTCCATCCTGGAGGAGGCACACAGAAGAGACCATCAGCCCGTTAGCAATGGGGCGCTCACCAGACACCCCAGCTGCTGGCAGCTTCAGCATGGACCTGCCAGCCCAAGGAATTGTGAGAAAGATGCACCTGTCTGTTGTGGGCTGAGCAGGGCTGTTGTTCTCTTGCAGCAGCTGCAGTGTGCTAGGGGCGGGATCTGGATACCAGGCTCAGCTGTATGCATCAGCTCACCTGGACACCTCGGCAACGCTAGTGTCTGGCCAAAGAACATCTACAGACAGGGTGACACTAAAGTCTCAGATTCCTAAGGGTAGTTCACAATAGGGGGAAGTGTATACTAGCCAGGAGATAGGGAAATGAGAATATTTCATTGTTTATATCCATATTCTCCAAAACCAATCATGCTAAAACAGAACTGATTATAACACTGAATTTAAAAACTACAAATAGTACAATGATCATGAATAAAAAACAACCTTTAATATATTGAACTTGAGAGGGAATGTTATTTTTTATAAGGGAATAATATCAGAAATAGAAATATATGTGAGCAATAAAATTAGAATTTCCAAAGTACATATATCCATACATAGGAGAAGAGCAAATGGTAAAACTTTGAGCTAATGTCAGCATAAAGGACAGTATCTATGTGTTGATAAATTGCCAATATCCACATTTTGGCTATGAGATTTCCTTTTTCAGTGATGACAATTCAGGTGAATCCAAATTAAGGTCTCAGAGCTTGGTGTCATAGGTAGTCACTCCAAAAGGATTCAGAAGCTCTGTCAGGGAACCCCATGGACACCTGTTGGGTAAGCGATGGCACAGTGGATACTGGTGCTAGGATTCTAGGATTCAGTCCTCTGAAGGGAGTTTTGCTCATTTCAGGGCAGGCATTGAATTGGCATGCCTATTCAGATGTTTCTCAAATGAAGGGTTTTGCTTCTTCTCCTGACATCTTGTCATTTACCCACTAGGGCTCACCATGGTTCTAGTGGTTCTTGGTATCTGGGAGTGAGAAAGAGAAAGAAAGCAAATGAGGGTCTTGGTCACATCCTGCTGGTAACTGAGTCTGAAGGGATGCTCAGTAGTGACAGAGGCCAGAGCCAAAGTGGGATCCCGTGGAGCTGACATGCTGAGCCACAGGCTGACAGAGGGAATCCAGAGAAGGCAGAAGCAGAAAGCAAAAGGTCAAAGAAAAGAAAGTTTCTGCACACATGGACTCTGCTCTCTGGCTGCACACTCAATGGAGTTCATTTTCAAGAGTTTTCCCTGAACGTGTGAAAATATCTGGGGCGTCAAACAAGAAAGAAGCCATGTTGACTAACTGCTTCATTTCTGGGTATCTTTAAAAGCCTGTGCTTCATGAGCATATTGGAAGGTAATAGGTTGTGTGAGCATTCCAAGATTCCTGGTGAGAGAGATGGATTTCTTGACTTATTAGAAAAGCAGAGCATCAGTAAAGAGAAGGGAGAGTAAGAAAGAAGGAGTAAGGTCTTTGATCTACTGGTCCACTGCCCATATGCCCACAACAGTTGGGGCATGATCAAAACTCAGGGGCCACAATTGTGTGTCAGGGACCCCACTAGTTAGGTAACCACCCACAGTCTTCCCAGGCCCATTTCCAAGACAAGTGCATCAGAGGCAGCAGAGCCAGGACTTGAAGTGGCACTGCAACACATGATGTGGCTTCCCAAGCAATGGCATGATGCCCCTGTGCTATTACGCCAGCATTATGCATTTTTTGAACAAATGTCCCTTCCTAATAATCCATCAGGTGTGTGTATCTAGTTGCACCTTGATCATGGCCATGAAGGGTGGCTACTGGGTCAGACAAACCCCTTGAACATTGCAGCTGAATATGCTGGACTCCATACCAATTTGGGTCTGTCCCTTGTGACCTGGGAGTGCTATTCTTGATTTGTAATTGGGAAGCCTTCTCTACTGCCTGCACACTTCTCACTCACATATACAAATCTAGAGGTGGGGGCTGACTTAAGGTCACCAAAGCAGATCCAAGGGGAAGATCTATTTACAAGTAATGTATGAAGACAAGATCTCAGAGGAGGCAGGCAATGGAGATGGGGACAGAGAAGGAAGGGCAAAGTGTAACATTTTAGGCACAGTCCTATGAGTTTAGCAATTCAATGATGTTCTTTGGCTGTGGAAGAGGGTGGGGCAGATGTCACTGTGGCTGTGTGAGAAAGTCAAGCCTGAAGTTGTGTGGACAGAGCAGAGCTCAGCATGCAACCAGAAGACATGGCAGTGGCCGGCATGGTGGCAGTTGTGGAAACAAAGGGAAGACTAGACAGAGAAAAGTGCAGATGAGGGTGAGAATGAGTTGGGGAGAGAAACTATTGTGGGAAAATGAGGTGGAGGATTGCCCAGTGAGCACTGCAGGAGAAAGGTCAGGGAGGGACCTTTCTTTGATTACCTCTTTACTGTAAGTCGATGGCCAGGGACACTCTGTGCCAGTCTCCACTTGCTGAAATGCAACCTTTTTTGAATCATCGCCTTTCTCAGCGCATCGGAGTCATCAAGGTGGCTGCGGACTCCACATGCAGTGCTGTTGCCAGCTGAGATCTCGGGAGGATCAGGCTCCAGCTGGGGACTGCTTCTGGATTCCACAGCACTCTCCAGAACAGGGCCTGAAAATGACACCACAGCCATCATGGTTCTCCATGAATCAGGATCTTAATCCTCCAACCACATAGACACCACATTAGGAAAGGGACCTCAGACGAGAAAGTCCAAGGCTTAGAGCCAAGCCAATAGAGATGCTCTGGTAGTCTCTTGCTGTTGGAATGTCTGAGCATAACATGGGCTTCACACAGGGAGATCATCATGAAACTGACCACATGTCCATGGGAATACTCACTGGCAACAGATACAAGCTGGCGTAACTGTGGCTCACACACGGGATCCCAATTACTGCCCAAAGCAGTGCAGGTGTGATTCTCCAGTGAAGACATGGGGGACAGTGGATGTGGACATGCCACTGGGCTCAGCAGACACTCAGGCTGTTCTGGATTGGCCAAGCTGGTGGGAGAGAGAAGCACAAGATGTTAACAAAGGAGCAACCATCCCCCACCCCCAGTGTCCTTTTTGGCTAAAATAGTAATCCATATGGTCAACAAAGGACAGTGAGCCCATCCAGTGACCCACAGCTTGGCCAAGGTGAAGCCTCAGAGGAGGAGTGCACCGGGAGCCTGAGGATGAATGACAGGGACACTGAGCATGAAAAGGTACTTGGGACAAAAACAATCACAAGGGCTCAAAAGGACAGAGCTGTGCCACCCTCCACGGACACTCTCACAACTGACAGCTATTAGCCCAACAGAAGCTCTGGGACACATCAGAAACCTACAATGGCCTGAATGGTGCGGTCTCAGTCAGGTGAGTGCTAATACAGAGAAGTGTGTCCCAAGTCTGTTGCTGACCATCTGATGCCATGCCCGGAGGTTTGCCTCCAACCAACTTCATGCTACCAATGGGAAGCAAAACAAGAGGTGGGCAAAACAAAGGGCAGAAAGGCATCACCTGGCCATGAAGGTGGCAGGGTCATGGCAACAACTGACCGTATTTCCTGAAAAGCCCAGATGACCTCAGCTGGCCCAGTGACTCTGTCCAAGGGACAGAATGGGAAAAAGCACATAGGACATGGAGGGTACTGCCATGCTGAGACACAGCACTGTTCCTGTATTGTTCCTATTTTAGTATATCTGCTGCCGAAGTGAGCACGACAGCACTGTTTCTAAAAGTACTAGGAAAGGGGCACGAGTGGGTATAGTGAGTGTGGCAGCAGTGCTGTTTGCCTTCCTGCATTTAGATTCTCCAAAGTTGAAGGGAATCTGTGGCCACAAGGTTTGGAGACATACCTGAAGTTGGCAGGATCAAGAGAACCAGCCACATCCTGTTCATCCAGTTCATAAACTAGAAGTAAAAATCACACAGAAGAAGTCACACTGAGAACCTAAGAACCATGGGATGTGTCATTCATGTGGTGTAACTCTGGCAACTGCGCTCTGGGTTCAGGACATCTGGAAACCAATGTAAAGTGGTGGGTGGAACGGCACCCACTGTCACACCCTGTCCCTGGGTAGAAGCCTCTGGCCCACCACAACCTCGAGCCCCTGAGAAGCCTCAGGTGGTGCTATCCCACACGGTGAGGTGGCAGAGGTCTAAGATGGAATGCCTGGAGATGGAATACTGAGGCCCGGTGGAGCCTTCCAGAGGACTGGGGAGCTCAGGAAACACTTCCCCCAAGAGGGTGAGCACACTGCTCTCTACAGGGAACTCAGGGCGTCCCCTGAGAGGCAGAGGAGGCTGCAGATGCTGGCGAGAGGACAGGTTAATGGGCCATTGCTGGAACACTGAAGGAGAGCCTTCTGGATGGCAGAATCAAGTCCACTCCTCTGAGAAGGGAGAGGCCAGAGGGCTAACACAACAGAATTGAGGCCCACAACTGGTGGTAGGATGTGGATGCAAATGTTGAGGGCCTTGGCCTTCAGAGTGTCACCAGGCCATGAGTGTCAGGCAGGGGTTGGCAGGAGCCCAAATCTGTGTCTAGCCAGCTGGATGGGTGCTAACATGAGCACATAAGCCAAACTGCAGGAACAAGGCTCAGTGTGGAGGTCCAGAGAGCCAAGCATGACCCGATACAAGCCCTGGGCTGAGAGGAGATCCCCTTTGTGAAGCTCTGCTTCAAACTGGACAGTCTGCACGCACTAACTACTGACACTAGCGCCATGCTGCACTCACAAGGGGCAGGAGGCAGCAGCCCAGCCCAGGGTGCACTTCCTAGAGACCCAGGTGTCAAGGCACCTTGTATCCTGAAGGAAACTCACCACCCTGAAGGACTGCCCAGCACAGGTGATCGTCATGCACGAGGTCACTGCTGATGTTAGACATCTGCTGGGGCTCTACTGCCATCCTGGGCATCATGGGCCAAGACCCCCAGGCTTCACCAGTGGAGCCAGAAGACCCGATGTTGGCTTCCATCCAGGGTGGTTCTTGGCTGGGCCTGTTGTGGTATTAAGCAAGGGATGACCATGAATGTGATGCTGCACATTAGCTGTGTCTGTCCTGCCTTCCCAGGGTTCAGACAGCTTCCCTGGCCAGAGCAATACAGCTCAAGAAACCATTTCCCTCAGGGTCTTGAGAGTAGCTGCCTGCACTTGTGTGAGGTGCAGACAAAGATGTAGCTAGAGAGGCTGGGGGCAAGCAAGTGAGAGTGGGAGAGGGCACCTGCCTGGTGGGTGAGCCAAGGCCTCTGATGACAAATGCAAACACCCTCACCAGACCCAATGAGGAGGCCTGCTCTAGCTGTGGGTCACCCACACCCAACAGCAAACTTCCCTTCAAGCCTGTTTGCCTGCCCACAGGAAGTGCACCTGCTGAACAGCTGGAGCCTCCCGTATCTCAGTTTCTCCAGCCAGACACAGTACAGCTCACAGGTAATTTCCTCATGGGAGACTTCTGGCTCAAGGCAGGCCTAAAGTCACATTTCATGTCAGCCATGGAGGATGCTCAACATGCACGGGCAATGACATAGGGAAAAGGGGGCCTGGCCTCCACTCACAGAGGGAGAATTGCCTAAAGAATTGCATGCTGGGAATGCTGGATCAGAGCCAAACCAGACAATGTCTCCAAGGCAGACTTGGGAGTAACCAGAGATCCATGGGGACATGAAGGATAGCTGGCACTTTTGTCTCCATGACTCAGGAAGGAATGAGTGAGTCAGCATGGGTACATGCCACATGAGGGACACCAAGGTCTATAGACTTACATGTTCACGGGAACGTCAGAAGCATCAGCATCATCCAGAGAAGACAGTAGGGAAGCTGCAAATCACAGCAAACAGGGAAGGGCACTGTCAGTGTTGCCAGGCACATGGCGATGACCCAAGGGGATATCCTCTACTCTGGTTAAGCTACAGACAAGCTCCTGGCTCTCAGACATCCCAGACGGGAAAGGCAAACTTCCAGGCCATTGGCCAGGCCTATATAATGTTATGGGAGCCAGGGGAATGCCATCTTCCAACTGGGTCAGGGCAGAACACACATTGTTGCAACATGAGGGGGTGTAAACCACTTAGGCCACTTTGAAACTCCTACTCTCACAATGAGCCCACAAGTCAACTTGTCTCTGTAAGACCAGGCTCTTAAGCCCACAGCTTTCTCATTTCACAAAAAGTCACCGCACTATGCCTCTGTATGTCCTGACAGGAAGCATAACATGAGCAGATTTTCTAGGTCAAGTGTGTACCCAGGACCAGGAGCACTTGGAAGGCTTGCATGTAGATGGCCCCTGTGGGACAACGGGACAGGGCAACAGTTGGAACACTGAGTGAGAGTATTGAAAAGCATTCTAAACTGCCTGAATTCACTGAAGTCATCACAGAATAAGGGAGACACAGGTTGGCACAAAAAAGAACACTGAGTCCAACATCAGGTAGCTCAATATGGATGCAAATGCTGATGGATTTGACCATCAGAGAGTTTGGCCATGTCAGGCAGGGTCTGTATGAGCCCACCACGTCCTTGTCTAGCCAGCTAGAAGGGTGATGGCCATGAGCATCTAGGGACTGTAGGCACAGAGGATGAACCATAGGAACAAGGGTAAATGGGGAGGTCCAGGCAGCCAACCTGACCCAATACTAGTGCCTCAGCTGAGCGGTAGTGCAACACTTACCAAGGCTGTGTTGCAGATTTGAGAGTATATAAAAACACACCACTGACCCTTGTGTCCAGTGCCCTCACACAGGGCAGGAGGCAGCAGCCCAGCCTGAGGGGAATTTCCTGGAGAGACCCTGAGTGTCAAGGGATTCCGTGTCCCCAGGGAGACTCACCACCTTGAAGCACGGCCTGGACCAGGTCATTCTCTTGAACAGGGTCACCAGTGCTGTCAGTCATGTCCTGGGGCTTGATTGGCATCTGGGGGGTCGCAGGCCGAGACTCCCATGCTTCCCTAGGAGTCCGAGTCAAAGCCTCAAAGGCTGCCATCCTGGGTGGTCCATGATTGGGCCTGTTGGGGTGTGAGGCAAAATAGGTTCATGAACCAGGAAGTGCACTCTGGTTGAATCGTTCCCGCCCTCCCAGGTGAGCAGAAGGGTTGTGTAGCAAGAGAATGAGGGTACAAGCAGCCATTTCTCTCCCGTCCCAGGTGAAAGCTTCCAGAGGCTGGTGTTAGGTGCATGCAGACATGCAGAGAGAAAGGCTGGGGGAGAGCATGAGAGAGGAGGAAATGACCAGTGGCACTGCCTCCCCCAGCTGACCACCAGCAGTCCTGCTCCAGCTGAGGGTCAGCCACACCCAAGAGCAAAAGTCCCTTCTAGGCTGCACATTGGCTACAGCAAGTGCCCTTGCTGAACAGTGTGAGCTTGCCACATCTTAAACTTGCCAGCTCAGTGCAGTGCAGGCCCCAGGCTATATCCTCAAACCATGCATGTTGGCTCAAAGTTGGCCTAAACTCACATTTCATGTCATCCTTGGGGGGATGATCACAAATCATGGGAAATGACCCCAGCACAAAAAGGGATGGATCAGCCTCCCCTCATACACACACAGTAGCTGCAAAAACCTACAAGACTGCCAGCAAGGACTGCTGGATTGGAGCCAACCCAGATAACGTCTCCTTGCACAGAGCAGGAATAACCAGAGCAGACCACACGGGCTTGCCCAATTGGATGGCCATGTAGTCCCCATGACCTGAAGGGGTGATCCAGCATGGGTGACAGGGCTCTTGGGTCCTGATTTGCATCTCCCACTACTTCGACTCTATGAGGATCTTCCACATAAGAGGCACCAAGCTCTGTAGACTTACATGATCTTGGGAGTATCAAAAGCATCGTCGTCTTCTAGGGAAGACAGTAGGGAAGCTGCAGATCACAACAAACAGGGAAGATTGCTGTGAGGGAAGCTAGCCATATGCATTTGACCCAAAGAAATGCCCTGCACTCTAACTGACCAAGGAGCACGCTCCTCGCTCTTGGACACCAAGGGACCAGGAGGACAATGTGTCAAGCCAGTGTTCAGGCCTGATATGTTTATGGGAGCCAGAGGAATGCTATCTCCCTAATGGGTGAGGGCAGCTCACACATCTCCTGCACCCTTAGGGGTGTGATTCCCCAAGGCCACTTTTGCAACCCTACTCTCACTACCGGCCCACAACCCAAATGGTCTCAGTTAAGGCAGCCCATGTCCCCAGGGACACTCACCACCCTGAAGGATGGTCTGGCACAGGTAATCCTCTTGCACAGGGAGACTGTTCATGCTAAACAACTGCTGGGGCTCTACTGCCACCATGGGGGTCACGGGCTGAGTTTCCCCAGATTCTCCAGTGCAGCCAGACAACTCGATGGTTGCTTCCATCCAGGGTGGTTCATGGCTGGGCCTGCTGGGGTGATGAAAAGGATGTTGAGGATCATGGCAATGCACTCTGCCTGACTCCTCCTGCCTTCCCAGGTGGGCAGAGAGTCTGTTGTCAGAGCAAGAAGCAACCAATTGCCTCAAGGTCCAGGTGGAAGCTTCCTGAGCTGGTAGCAAGTGCAGCCAGAGATGAAGAGACTGGGGAGATCAGGTGAGAGGAGGTAATGTCAGCCTGTCTGCCTGACAAGTGAGCCTAGGGCTCCCATGACCAATGGGTTTGCCTCCCCCTGCTGCCCACCAGATGTCCTGCTCCAGCTGTGGGTCCCCTAAGAGCAAATATCCCTTCTATGCTGCATGCCTTGATAAAACAAGTGAACCTGCTGAAAAGCTTAAATAGCCTACACTTCAGGCTCTCCACTCTGGCCCAGTCCATGCCTCAAGCCATTTCCTGAGACTTAGTTTCCTTGCTCAAGGCTCTCCTCAAGTCACATTTCATGCCAGCCACGGAGGATGATCACAAATGCATGGGCAATGACCACCGCACAAATAGGGCTCGGCCTCCCCTCACAGAGGTAGAGTAGCTGCCAAGACCTGAAGAACTGTCTGCATGCACTATGGATGAGAGCCAGCCCAGATGCTGTCTCCAGTCAGAGAGTGGGAATAACCAGTCAAGGAGAGGATGTCTGGGATGGGATGCTGGCAGTGTTGTCCCAATGACTCAGGAAGGGACGAGCTTGCGAGGGCTCCATGGATCCTTGAGGTCCATATTGAGTCCCTGAGGTCCATAATGGCACTCCATGCAGAACCCTGCCATGTGAGGATCACAGGTTCTGTTGACTTACACGTTCAGGGAAGCATCAAAAGCACCGTCGTCATCCACGGAAGACAGTAAGGAAGCTGTAAATCACATCAAACAGTGAAGGGCACAGTGAGTGTAGTCAGCCACATAGGGATGACCCCAAAAGATCTCCGCCACTCTGGCTGAGCAAGGAGCAGCCTCCTGGCTCTGGGGCATCCAGGAACCAGGAGGGCAAGTTTCCAAGCCACTGGCCTGGTCTGGATATATCATGGGAGCCAGGCAAATGGCATCTCCTCACTGGGTCAGGGCAGCACACACTTCTGAACCCTGAAGGGGTGCAATCCCTCAGGCCAGTTTTGAACTGCACTTGAATGACCAGCCAACAACCTAACTTTGGTCTGTGAGACCTGACTCTGAAAACCAACACACTCTCTCTCTTTTTGTAGATATGCACAGTACTGTGCACATGCGATGCCCATGGTTGGAGGCACGGCATGAGCAGAGCTGCTGGGCCACAAGTGTTCACTGGAACACCTGGAAGTCTTGCATGTAGGTGGCTCCTGTGGGACAGAGGCCTCAGCTCAGAGCTCTGCTGTTGAAGATAGAAGAAAAGCATGGCACAGCCTTCTACTGCCTGAATCCAGCCACATCATGTCAGAAGGCAGACGTCAGACGTCAGAGTCCTCAGGAGAGAAAACTAAGCCCAACGCCTGGAAGCTGGATATGCCTGCAGATGCTATTGGTCTTGGCCCTCAGAAAGGGTCACAAGGCCATGAGTATCTGGCAGGGTTTGGCAGCAGCACACTACATTCCTGGCTAGGCAGTCGGCTGGGTGATGGCCATGAGACTTAGGGGCTGTAGGCACAGACTGGGCTGTGCGACAATGTAAGTGCGAAGGTGCAGAGATCAGGTACGACCCAACAACTGGGGCTAGGCTAAACTGTAGACCCCACTTAATAAGGCTGTGCTGTAGATTATACATTACACATTGACTTAAGACTCACACTTACAGGGCAGGAGGCAGCAGCCCAGCCTGGGAGGAATTTCCTGGAGAGACCCCGAGTGTCAAGTGAGCCCACATTCCTGGGGAGACTCACCACCCTGAAGAATGGCCTGGGCCAGGTGATCCTCTTGGCTGGGATCAGTGCTGATATCAAACATCTGCTGGGGCTCGATGTCCTCCTGCACAGTCACGGGCTGTGACTCCCAGGCTTCCCCAGTGGTCCAAGTGCAAACCTCGACGGCTTCCATCCAGAGTGGTTCATGGCCAGGCCTGCTGGGGTGTGAGGCAAGGAATGTTCATGAACGGGCACCCAATTCTAGCTGAGCTCTTCCTGCATTCCCAGGTTGGCAGAGAATTTCTGTGCTCAGAACAATAAACCACAAAAGCAACTTCCCTCAAGGTCCAGTGGAAGGTTCTCAAATTGATACGAATGCAGAATGAGATTTAGAGGCTGGGGGAGCTCAGGTGAGAGGAGGAAATGTCTGCCTGTCTGACAAGTGGGCTTAAGGCTCCCAGGACCAATTGGACTGCCTTTACCTGACGTCCACCGGGACTCCTACTTCTGCTGTGGTCAAACATGACCACAGGATGCACACCAGGCTGCACACCAGGCAACAAGTGCACCTGATGAACAGTTACAGCAGCCCACCTCTCAGGTTATCCATCTCTGAACCCAAAAAGGTACCAGGCAATTTGCTCAGCCCCTGCTTCCTGGTTCATGCTCCCAGGATGGCTGCCCATACATGCATGAGGGATGACCACAGCCTAAAGGGGTCAGCCTCTCCTCATAGAGGTGGAGTAGCCCACCAAGGCCTCAAGTACCACCAGCCAGGACTACTAGATCAGAACCAATGCACACCTTGTCTCCAGGGAGGAGAGTGGGAATACCCAGAATGCACCAGGTGAGGATGCCAGGCATGGGGTACACAGCTGAAGTCAGAGATGGCAGGGGATGTGCCAGCATGGGTGCCATGTAACCATGGGTCCCATCCTGCGTCCATCACTACTGAGACTCTATGAGCATCCCAGGAACTGAGTGGCCTGACTGTCTGGAGACTTACCTGTCTTGGGGAGAATCAGAGTATGTGTCCTCTTCATCAGCAGATGTCTGGGCCACTGTAAGTCACATTGGACAAGCACACACACAGTGAGACACTCAGGAAACCACATGGCGACCACCTCAGGATGTCCTGACCATCCAGGTCAGCCACCCGTTAGTCTGGGGATAATGAAGCCTTTTGAGGAGGCCATGGATCCTGTCTGTCTGCTTTCAGTGCAATCCCTGGGGACCTTACATGGCTCACGTGTGGACACCACACACACTCTTCCTGTGACTGCAGGCTGTAGAAACCATTAGAGCCTCTTGCCCACCCACACCCCAGTTTCCTTCCAACCACAGCCTAACTCCTGATTGTCACTCCTCTGTAGCATCACCCTTTCCCATCCAACACAAAGAAGCAAAGGAACAGTGTGCCGTGCCTGTGCATGACCACTGGCTGCACGTAAGAACTCTACAAAGCCTGGGGCTCTGTTCTGAACCCAGGAAAGGAGTGGTGCCTGTGGAGATGAGGCCTCAGACCTGATGCTCAAAGATGGAATCCTGAGGGCATGACAGAGCCTTCTAGAGGTCTGCTGAACCCAGTGCATTCATTTCAGAAGACTTGGAGGTTGGGACACCTGTCGGGCAGAGGCCTCTGTTCTAATGCCCCTCGATGGACTGTGAGGACAGTGAGTGTTCAACAGGACAAGTGAGCTCAGTGAACTCATCTGGGAAGCTGGAGCACAGGGGACTTGCTGGAGGGAACTGTGTGCCATTCCTGAGAGGTGGATATGGACAGGAAAGCTGAGAGCCTTGACTAAGAGAGTGTGACAAGGCAATAAATGTCACGCTGGGTTAGGCCATGGGCCTCCAGTTTCCCTTTCACATCATCCAGACAAGTGCTGGCTGGCACCTTATGAGTAGAAGGCACAGAGGCCGTGGTGGAATGTCTTTTCTCATGCAGAGTGGCTGTGGGATCCCAGACATGACCCACTGACTAGAGCCTGGGCAAGCTCTAGATCCTCAATCACCTGGTGTGTGTGTCAGATCCTCATCTGTGTTCTCACACCACTGACCTGTGTGTCCACACACCCTGCTATGGAGCAGGGCAGAGGTCACAACGGGAGGTAGCCCTTTGTCCTGGGAGTACTCACTTATCAGGTTCATGGCCATGGAGTGGTGTTCTTCTTGCACAATGCTGTAACCACTGGTGGAAACCTGGTAGCAAGTGGCTGCCACATGAGTGGCTACGGAACATGCCCAGTAGTTGTTCTCTGTGTGTTCAGCTGGGCCATCACACTGCTCCTGCCAAGGCTGCTCATGGCATGCTCTGTTGGGGTATGAAGGCATGGGAGTCTCACCAAAGGGACACTGGACACCCAGTGACATTTTCCTGCCTCCTGTCATGTCAGAGTATACCTGATGCCAAAGGAATATAGCACAAGCAGCAGCTCCCCTTCCTGCCACTATGGGGATTCTGAAGGGCTGCTGGAGACATAGTCTGAGACCCAGACACAGAGAAGTGGGGGGAGAATAGGTGTGAGGCCCAAAGGCAGCCTGCCCAACAAAGCAGCAAAGAGCTCTGCTGACCAACACGACTGCCCTCCCTGCTGTCTCACCAGGAGTCCCACTGAAGCTATGGGTTCTCCCTGAGATGGAGCAGGGTCTGAATTCCACAGGCTTCACTAGAGCAAATGCACCTCCTGCTGAGAGCCTAACTCCCCATACTTCCAGCCCCTGCCCCATCCCTCACCTCTCCCAAGTTGCTTCCTCAGACCCTCATTTCTTCCTCGTGATTCCCCTTGAGTCCTGTTTCCATGTGGAAAGCCAGAGGCTCTGAGCCCACACAGTTGTTTACTCTAAGGTAGAAAGTGGCAGTATGCAGAGGGAACCTACATGTCAACTCCCCTGACACTATCCTTAGAGATAGGAGGGGACAGGCCTGCGTGAGTGCCATGGGTCCCTGTGGTCTGTCCTGTGTCTCCCAGGACAGAGCTCGGCATGGATACCTGCACTGAAGCCGCCACATGGTCTGTAGACTTACCTGGACTGCAGAGAATCAGCTTCCTCCGGAGCAGCAAATGTCTGGACAACTACATCAAACAGGGAAAGGTACCATCAGGAGGTCACTCAGCCACATGGATGGCTGCAGGTACAGCTACATGGTCCAGGATGCCATCTGCTAACTTGAGGACCTCCCAGGAATAGCTGGTTGTGTCTGCAGAGGATTGACCAACCCTGCCTCTTTTGATGGAGAATCAGAAGTCTTACACTGGCCAATAGGGCAGGAAACCATGCCTATCCCCTGTGATCTGAATGTGTGCAATCGTTAGCATGTCTCAGCAGCCCCACTATCTCCAGCACCCAGAGCCTGGCTGGCCTCTGTAACAGCCCTCTCCCATCCAAAGGAAAGGCAGCACAACACTGCCCTCTGTCTTGAGTGGCCACTGGGTGGAGTACGACATCTGCAGAGAGCCTCTGGTTCACCTGGACCTCTGGGACCTTCCAGAATCCCTGTATGTCAGTGGCCCCTGACAGAGGGCCCTTGGATCTAATGGCCATTTGTGCATGGAAGGGCCTCAGAAGCCTGGTGAGCTGAAACCACGGTGCATGAGGAATGCTGGATGGCACTGTGTTCCTTGACAAGGAAGTAGACGCAGAGGACGATGTTCAGGGCTGAGACTAGTAAGTGTCACCAAAGCATGAGTGTCACAATGGATGGAGCTGTAGGTTTCGGGCATCCATTTCTTGCCAGTGGTACTGGTGGTGGCCAGCAGTTCATGGCTAGGAGGGGCTGAGGCTAGACGGCTTGGGGAAATCGAGGACATGACCCAATGGCAAGGGGCTTGGCCGAGCTGCAGACCCCCATTTCTCTGAAATGTGTGTTAGACTCTCTACTGAGGGGACCTACAGCATTGAACTTCTGTGCTGATACAGGCTCTGCAGGATAAACAAGTGCCTATCTCTTGGGAGAGACTTGGGCCTATCAGGAATCCTTTGGCCTGAGAACACTCACCACTGAGCCTGACGGACATGAAGACTTGTTCCTCTTGCACAAGGTCACCCTCGTTGGAATATACTTGAGTGTAGCAGCTTGCCACATGTGTGGTCAGGCTATACGAACAAAGGCTAGTCACTGCTGACCCAGCTGGTATACCAAATTGCTCCATCTCAGGAAGTTCAGGACTGAGCCTGCTGGGGGTGAAGGCACAGGAGCTTCAAAAACAGGGCTCTTGGCTCCCACTGACTCTGTCCTATCCTCCCTGGCAGACAGTAGCCACAGGAACACAACAACAAGCAGCAGCTGCCCTCTCTGCCCACACGGAGGCACAAGTTCGATGCCTGACAGGTGAGCAAAGAGCTCTGATGGCCACCATGGCTGCAACCACCCCCAAACAGACACGCCATGCTTCTGCCAGGAGCTGTCTCACCCATGGATGCAACATTACCTCAGTACACTTAGGCTTTGCTACAGAAAGGGCACCTGCTGACTTCCTGCAGCAAACTACAGCGCTAGGTGCCCTCTCCCACCTCCAGGGACAGGACTCTTGCTCAGCTTCTCATGCTGCCTTCAAGCTCTGCTTGAGTCTCTGTTTACACCAACTGCACAAAGAATTCCCACATCCCAGCTCGAAATAACAGCGGGGTACAGAGTCATCAGTCTCTTCTGATGGAGGCAGGGCAGACATCCTGGTCACAGAAGCTTCTTGGACAAGTCAGGAGAACTGAGCAAACCCAGAGGCAAAGGGAAAGTTTCTGCATGGGCCCCTGAGAAGGGGCAGGGCTGTCCTCCAGGACAAGAGGGGACAAGCCAGCATGGGTTTTTAGGGACCATCCTGTGAATCCAATCAGTAAGACTTCCTGTGGATCACTGCAATGTAGCAACGTGACGGGGAGACTGACCTGTGTTCAGGAGCACCCAGGGTATAGTCGTCATCTGCACAGTCCAGCAAGGAGGCTGCAAATCACATCGCACAGGGAAGGGCACTGTGAGTGTAGCCAACCCCACAGGGAGGACCCACAGGAATGTCTACCTCTCTGGCTGAGCAAGGAGCAAGCAAGCACCTCTCTGGCGCACATCCCCAGGCAAGGATGGTGAGGTTCAAAAGCAGTGTTCAGTTTTGACCCTCTAAATGGGAATGGCAGAAACATTATCTCTCATCTGATTCAGGGCAGTATACACATCTCCTGCTCCCTGAGGGTGTCTGAATCCCTGAGGCCACTTTTTCAACATCACTCTGACCATCATCCCACAACCCCATAAGTCGCTGTGAGCTCAGGTTGAATTCCAATATTCCCAAGTTCCCCAAATTGGCAAAGTACTGTACTTGTTTCTTGTCCTGGGGAAGATGAATGTGATAAACTGAGCCTGCAGGCCACCTGGGTGCCTACCAGCACCTGCAAGGCTTGCATTTAGATGCATTGAAAAACCTCAGCTCAAAGGACTGAGGTATGAATACCCAGGGAGTACTTGTCAGAGCCTTCCAGAATGGCTGAATGCAGTCAACATATCTAAGAAGGGAGGAGTTGTTCAGCTCATGAGAGGGAATTGAGTCCCATATCTGGTAGTTGGACGTCAATGCAAATGCTGAGGGCCTTGGTTGTCAGAGTTTCACCAAGTCAAGAGTGTCAGGTGGGGTTGGCTGAGCCCACCACATCCTTTCTAGCCAGTTGTATGGGTACCAGACAGGAGCACATAGAGGTTTATCTGATTAGACCTTAGATTGGGCACAAGTGTCACTCAGGAAGTACAGGGAACCAGGCATGACCCAATGCTAGCAGCAGGGCTGAGGGGTGGATTCTCCTTTCACAGGGCTGTGCTTCTCACTTAGTAGTCTACATTCACACACCACTGTCACTTGTGCCCTGCTGCACTCACACAGGGCAAGAGGCAGCAACCCAGCCTGGTGGGCATTTCCTGAAGACACCCTGAATGTCAAGGGAGCCTGTGAACCCTGGAGACTTACCACCCAGACGGATGGCCTGGACCAGGTGATCCTCCTGCATGGGATCATGGTTGTTTTCAATGCATTGCTGGGGCTTGACTGCCTCCTGTGTAGTTATTGGCCAATATCCCCTGTCTTCTGCAGTGAGCCCAGGGGACAGCTCGAGGGCTTCCATCCAGGATGGGTCATGGCTGGAGCTGTTGGGGTATGAAGCAACGGATGTTGGTGAATGGGGTACCATACTTTGACTGACATCTTCCTGCCTTCCCAGCGGAGTAGAACATCTTGGTGAGAACAATATGGCACAATCACCCATCACCCTCAGGCATCAGAGGGTAGCTTCACAAAATTGTGGGAGGGACAGCCAGCGACTGAAATATGGAGGCTGTGGGAGAGCACGTGACAGGGCAAAGGTGATGCCGGCCTGGCAAGTGAGCCTAGGGCTCTGAGAATCAATATGTCTGCTCTCCACAGGCTCCCACCTGGAGGGTTCTCTTCAGAAGCCTGACGTGATTGGCCAGAGGGTGTGCCACAGGTCCTCTGGCCCATTCTGTTTCTGTAAGTTCCGGGATTCCACACAATCCATGCAAAGGAAGCAGCCACATCATCTACTTACCTGCACTGGGCAGAATGCAGGAAAGGGTCTTCGACTTCCCAAGGTGTTTGGGGCACTGCAAATCACGTAAGACAGAGAAGGCCATCTGGGATGGTTTCCAACCACATGGGACCCTCCCACCGACATCCGTATCCTCAGGATGAGCCATGTGGTGCCTTCAGGGTCATTGCCAGGGACTGCCATACTCGTCTGCAGCCTGCTAGCTGAGACATCCACATTCAGTGGTGACAGGGCATCTCACGTGTACTGTTGTGGACGCATGCCACCACACTTCCCATAGCTACAGTGATATGCCTTTGGCCATATCTCTCCTACACATTGCTCATCTCAATTCTGCACGGGAAAAGGCCAATCCATGTCATGTGCCAGGCATTCTTCAAGTTCATGTGGCACACCACACTGTCCTTATGCACAGTCTTTTCAGCAATGCACTAGGGCCATGTGGGGTGTGCGTGTCTGTGTGTGTGTTGAGGTGTGTGTTTTGTGGGTGGCTATAGGACATGTGAGATCAATCAACTGGGCTTAGAGTTTTCTTGTTAGCAACTTCTTGTGAAAGCTGCCTAAGGAAACAAAGGGGTACACAGACTGAGAGGTTCTGCCTTGGCACCTCACGTCCCTATCACACTTTCACTTCCCTTGCAGGTGTTGCACAGGCCACTCTGAGTTTATCTCAACTGCCTTGAATGCAATAATCTACCATTTGTTCTTATACATTTGGACAACGCCTTAGATTAGGACTTTATCAAGTGGCAGACCCATCCTAAGTGCCCATGTGTTCCATAAGGCATTCTGGATTCTCTCAAGTTGAATCTCTTAACAATGGTTCAGTCTGCTTCAGTGCCAAGTCTTGGTTGAACCAGATGTGAGTAAGGTTGGTAGACCAGTCTACCCATGAAAGATGGATTTGGTCATCTTCTGTTGGGAGCACGCATTGTAGTTCTGAAACTGCTATGAACAAGTGCTGTTCCTGCACAAAGTCCTACTGATACCATGCAGTTGTTATGTACCTTTCATGTCACATGCTTTGCTTGACATGCAGGGATCAACTCTTGGCTCCTGCAGGATGTTTGCCTCGTGCAGATCACGTTCCTGTTGCTCAATGAGCCTGTGCAAAGATGTGATGACATGTTAACAGTCAGGAGTTCATGTCCCAGATAGTGCTACATGGCTTTGATATCACACAAAAATGTTGTCACCAAATTAAATGTCATTTTTAAAGGCTGTATGACCATTACTCCTTGAAGTGGGGCAGAGAAAGGGAGGGTGAGATCATGGTCAGGGAAATGACAAGAATACATGCCACACACAGCAGCCAGCTCTGAAGCTCTCCATGGGGACCTTCAGCACAAAGCCACAGGCTAAAGAAAAGCTCTTCATCTCGCTTGACAAAAACAGGTTGAATTCTTCTAGACTCACTCACAGAAGCACACCTGATAAGAGGTTGTGGGAACCTAGACCATTTGCCTTCTTGCCTGTTTTTGGCCCCATCGTTTCAATCTGGGATGTTTCCCAATGTCTCTTCAAGATATCAGGACGTGCAAAAGGAGGAAAGAACATGGGACTAATTATCCTTTGATCCAAGCTCAACAGAAACCATGCTGTGATAAAGCCCCACTGTGCACTGAGCTGAGAGGGCCCAGCCCAGCTTGCATCACCAAGGGCACGGCTGAGAAGAAAAAGACTTCTATGGATACTGTAATGACTAAGGTTCCCTTCTGGAAATTTTGGGTGACGGGCTTGAATGGGTCAAGTTGTTCCATTCAGCACACTGCCTTTCTCCCTTAGTCAGGAATCCTCCCATTGCAGTTCCCAATGACTGTCCATAATTTCCCAGACTTACCTGGAGCTGGAGCATTCTTGGGGTGCTGTCATATCTTCATGAGTTTGCTGGACTGCAATTCAAACAGATACATTCAGACAGGGATGGCAAATTCAGGGAATCTCTTTCTACATGAGCAGCCCAGAGTCCAATCCTGGCATAAGGGCATTAGGACCCTCCAGGTGAGAACTGGATCCCGCGACAGAAACATCCCATAGCTTATCAGGACTAACTTAATTGACCTTTGCAGGCAAAGGAGCAACTATCGAGATATAAAAACCTTGGCCATGAACCCTGAGTCCTGTGAAACAACTGACATCGTTTCCCTGCTCTGGTTTTGGGGAGAGGATATCTATGCAACGCTAAGGAACGGATGCATTATCTTCTCCCATCAGGATCCAGGTTAAGATGATGGAGTGGAATTCGTACACTGAGATGAGCCTGATTGGTGCTATGTAAAAGCATTCGTCTGCAGATAACCCTTTGCTGCTACATAGAAACAGGGGCACCATGGCACCCAGCACCTACAGGGTTCATTGTTGCCTTCAGGAACCTTGTCAGGATGAGAAGGGCAGCAGTGGCTATGTTTGGATGGAAATAGCTCCTTAGCTCTAATAACACTCATAGGAAACAGAGAGAGTCCAGACCCATGGGAACTACACTACTTTTGACGGAGATCTCAACGATTCCACTGACATTGGGCAGACAGGGAATCCTAAAAGAGAAATGCAGCTGCCTCACGTGCCAGATCCAGTGCAATGGGGTCAAGGGCTGCATCCAATTTAAAAGCACAAGTGACTCTTTTAGATGTGAGTGTCACACCCAATACACAACACATTTTCAGCGACACTCGACAGAAAAACAGAAAAGACAAGCATCTGGGTATGAAAACAGGCACATCTCAACAGTGGATGTGTTGAGACTTTCCACTCTGAAACCGTGGCTTTTGTGCTGCTAACACACTGCCTCTGAGCACAGCCTCTTTCCTGTGTTTTCAAACTGACAGGAGAATGACTCCTAGTCCATGCCCAACTGCATCCGGGAGAACAGAGATCCTTGTAATTCTCAGAACTTCAAACGCCTGCATGTCCTACTCAGTTCCTTGACAGGCCTTGAGCAGCTCATGGCCAGTATTGGTGAACATAAAGAGATGTGTAGGAGATGTGCTCTGCATGAGTGCGAAGCCACTGTCACCTTAGATTCACTATCACCAGAGCCTGGGCCATCTTACCTGGGCTGAGTTTGCCAGCCAGGTGTTCTGTCAGCTTGAGCAGCTCAGCGAGTCTTTGTAACAAGTCCTGGCCCTGGCAGTTCTCAGAGTCCTGCAGCCTGATGATGTCCTGGAGATGCTGATGCAAGAGTAGGCAAAGAGCTCTCCCTTCCTGCACCTGCGGCAGCTCTTGAACTGGAGCATAGCATCTCCTAAAGTAGCACGGGGGGATAATGCAAAGGCGGCAAGGGACCCGAGATCTGTTCTCTATGTTTCTGCAGAGGTTTGGTGAGAATGTGCTCACAGAACCCTACAACCCACATCACTGCCTCTGTGTGGGAAAACACTCATGCCAGAGAGAAGGCAAAGGTTGAACCAGACCTTCCTCTCTTAAATGGAGACCTTGTGAGATTCCTGGACCTGCATTCACCTTGTGTTCTATAAATGACACCAGGCTTAAGCCTAGGCTCCGTGACCAAGAGAACCCTTCGGGTCCACACCTGAACATGGACCTTCCCTTGTAAAATGTAATGAGTGCAGTGTGCAGTGAGTGGACACAACGACACATGGAAACACGCCAGGTTCAATTGTGTTCATGAGAAAGACTGACTGTGGTGACCCTAAGACAGTGTCCACAGCCTGTCGGGATGTGCTGCAGATGGACTGACTGAGGTGATGATCCTGCAATAGTGTGTATAAGTGAAATGTCTCTGAGTTCTTCATCTTCTTTCATTCAAATTTGTATGTTATGTTCAAGTCAAGACATTTCTTATTGCTAAGGGGAAAGGGGGAAGAAATAACCACCCTCGCCCATAATCTCGTCTTCTCTATCTGTCTGGCTGCTTGATGAATCTGGGTGAGGCATGTGCCCACCATGTAGGTCCCTGCCCTTCTCCTTGTCCGCTGAGCTCTTGGTTCCCCAGCTGACCTGCTGCACTTCAGGGATGCATTCACCTTCGCCTTCGCTTCACCCACCACCCACCCCCTACTGTCAGGGCGCCTCTTACTTTTGATTCTCAGCAGATGTCATGTCCTCTGCCAGCAATGGTGGCTTCTCCTTCAGCACAGATTCAATCAGATCTTTATACCCTTCACATCCTGAGAAAACACACACACACACGTGCCTCAGTGGACAGCTGGGCAAGTTTGCGAGGTTCCTGTCCTTAAGGAAGGGAACTCCACTGCCACGGTCACTGTGGCATGTCATCATCTGTGTTTTTCTCCCCAACCCCCAGAGATATGGCCTCTGATAACCTGCATTTTATTTGTTTTTATTAAGGATTGAGTCTCGACTTCAGTCTCTTTCCTTTCAGCTAGTATTTTGTTGTTACTTGCTAAATAGTTTACTTTCAATTTACACTCTGCTCCAAAACTTACGGCTCTACACATGGTATAGCAAATGTAATGTACAAATCAAAGAAAATGCAAAAAGACAAAGTCC